CAATAAACATTTTGTTTCTATCTGTTGTTATAACATCATTCATATTGTAATATGCTAAAGCGCTTAATTTGTACAAACATAGTTAATGTAAAATGTAATCGCCTTCCATTTGTCATATCATATTATCTGTGGTCATATTAATTAAGTACCAATACCTATGTCTTTTAAAACTGTTTACATACAACGTTGTTAAACTTTGATAAGATCTCAAAAGATATAAGATCCTATTATAGCATCTAAATCAGTGTTTTCCAACTTTATCGGTGCCCCCAAACGTACATAAATAAATTGAATGGTTCACACTTAACAAATTTAATTAATATTAGGTTTTAGGGAGAAATTACTGACATTGTTAATGAGACTGTAAATAAATTTTCAAAATATATAGTGAACATTTTCGAATTGTCCCCCTTAACAATCAAATTGTTCCCCTGTGGGGCATGGGCTATGTATTGCGAACACAACAATTGATCTCAAGGATTATAAAAGGATCATGTAAAGATTTCTGCATCTTCTATTGTAAATATTCCCAAACATGTTTATTCTATTCCCTACTAAATAAGTACTGACTCTTTAATAAGGCTTTCTCTATACTAACGTGTGTGTTTTTCTAATGCGATTGGAGAAGATAGACAGACACCTGATTGTTAACTTATATATTTGCTGTGGTAAGGATACAGTTACGGAATATGAAAGTATTAAGTTACGGAGTATTAAAGTACTCCTTCTACTATAACAAATTTTATATTTTAGCAAATAACAATATATTTGCTAAAATATAAAATTTGTTATAAAATTTAGTAATGGCACAGATAATATAATATTACATAGTGCATTTATTTCAAAAACAGTTGTTTTCTTTCTTTTTCTTTTTTTATATTTTTTTATTACATTACAGTTGCACCACTAAAATAATGTTAAATTTCTTATAATGTCATCTTGTGGTAATAGAAACTTCCTTTTTTATTTAAGTTGGATATCAATAGAAGATCATATACTTTTAAAAATATTAATATTTGTCAACCTAATAATAGGACCCAAATAATTATTATTAGAATGTTAGTCTTTTCTCTGTACTGTTGTGAGTACTAATCGCAAAAACATATGTGCCGTTCTACTAATCAAATTTAATGTTTATTTTTATTCCAATCTGTTTACAAAAATTGATATAAGTTATAAGTAACTGTGTATATGTAGGTATTTGTATCAGATGTGTTTAATATTTTATAAGCAACATGTCAACACTGTCAACAATGCGTGATACGTTTATACAATATAGGTTTATAAAATATTATTGTATAATAATATTATACAATAATAACGTTTATTTTCATTGGATATAAGTAATTTGTTTCAGTAATATTTCAATGTTATAATAATCATATAGTCACTGCGCCCGCAACTGCGTACGCGTGGCATTTGTTATAATATGTAATATTATTCTATCTGTGGTAATAAAGACTTTATAATCTGTGAAGTGTTAAAAAGAACTATAATTGTTACTAGAACCTACAAATATCAATGAAAACTAACATTTATATCTTGAGATAGATAACATATAATTTATTTGTAAAATAAAATATAGAAAAGACCTTAAAAATATATTAAGGAATACATGAATGACTATAATTCAGCTCGATGAGGCCAAATCTGAGATTAGTGTCCTCAAAAACACGGGCAAATAAATATATCAAAATTCTAAAAGATATTTCATAACTTAACCCTGTACCATAATTAGGACTTATATAAATTGTTTATTGTATGTCTATTTATATTATTATATACATATTTAATTTTATTGAGGAAAGTTTAATGAAATCACGACTGTCAATTTCAACAACAATATAAAATGAATACATTCAAAAATAATTTCAAATGTATTTAGAATAATGATATACAGCGTTAACTCTTAATTCAAATTCAAATTAACTTATTAGAAGGTATACGGAAATACTATCATAATATTTTTTATGAGTTACAACGTTCCGAATTTATATAATGATAAATATTTTAATACATGTATCTATATTAGTGAAGACAGCTATTATTGTTGAGGTCATCAAGTGAAAACTGGAGGTCATCAGTGTGAAAATATTAATTTCGAAACTGATTCTTCGATAAATTATAATAGTACAGTCAACGCGGTAATTACAATGCAATGGTGAAGGAAGTGCATTTACATTGAAGTCATTGTTTTAGTATTGGTATCTATCTGGGAATATCTTGGGAATTTAATATCTAGTAGTAGACAAGTGAAGTGAGATCTCTACGTCTGTATAATAAGGAGATGATGACTGATGGGGAAATGTGAACACAACAACATAAAAAAGTACCCGTTGAGTTTCTGGACACTTCTTCTTTACTTAAGTAGAAGTCAGAATTGGATGATATGGATAGTGATAAAAAAAATTGGACTTCCATAAGTGGTCGAAAGTGTCAGGTATGTGACTTAAATTGAACTAGTTTGTGTATGTCGCTAATCCATTTGTTTATTATACTCGTAAATGACTGAATGGATTTTAATGAAATTTTACGTGAAAATAAATTATATCAAGAGTAACATAGTGTATAGGTACTAGTATATTTAATATTAACATTTATAAAACCCACCCATGTGAAGCCGGGCGCGTCGGTAGTTTATTACAGTAATAAGGTAAGTTCAAAACTTGTTTACAACTTTTAAAAAAACACCGACTCACGTTTGCATATTAATCATACAAAATGTGACGACTATATACGGATTTTTTTAATGAATGATTTTGGAAAGGTGCTCCCTCCGGCGCCAATGCGTACGAAATTATACGATTGCTTTCTCAAGCTTCCGAACAGAGAGCTTTTGTGGTTTACCCATTAATAAAGTATATATACGCTCTGTTTATTTTGGGACAAGAAGGCGCTTAATGGGTTGTTCATATATTACATTGTACCCCCGACTTCATCTGCACAGCATTTCTTCTCTTCAAAGTTCTATCTATCTTAACATCAAAACTTCTGTTGATGAAAATAAAACAACAAAGTAATAAAGAAATATAAGATTATTAATATATTAATTGCCAATAGTAGATGGTGTATTTTATGTATAAAAGAACTCTACCAAAATAATGACGAAATGGTTTAACACGTCGCTTTACTTCAGTCAGTTACAGGTTCGATTCGTCGCATTTGTATCTTGTGTATGATTGTTTGTATTGGTTTGGACGTATGTTATGTATGTACTTACAAAAAAATATATAGTATAAAGTAGAAACAAACTTTATTGGCGAGATGTAATATGAATACTTACCAGTAAATACAAAAAATGCTTAATTACAGTTTTTTTAATTTGCATTTATAATTTAAATAATTTGCATTTTACTAATGACTAGAGATCGATTAGAATACTAAATTGTTTATAGCAGCTATAAAACCAGGTTTCTAAAGAACGAAATTTTATGATATACTTATTGAGTAAAAAGAAAGATTAAAGTCATTCTACTAATCATATTACTTAGGTATTTACGTATAATAAAGTCGATAAAGAGCTGTGTCTGTAAGTATATCCGTTACGTTACGGTATATACGTTTTATTTTGTTAGCGATGTTAAAAATATAGATATTACAATATTCGTCTGTCTGTAGCACAGATAATATAATATCTGTAGTAAGAGTTTGTTTAAGTTCCCTAATTTCGGAAACGGCTTAGCCATGCGGTTTTCGCTGTTATGGTTATATTATGTATACCCGGAAGATTTCAGTAACCATTTGGTAAGCTTCCTCCCGCGTACACTTGGAATGAGAATTAAACTACCGGCCGAGGTTTTCTCGAGAGATCACAACATGGGGTTTTTCGAGAAGTGTCTAATAACGATTCTTAAGGGTTAGTAACGCGCACGTGACGAGTGGTGTTTCAGGCGTCCATAGGGTACGGTAACCATTTATCGTCAGATGAATACTTGTTTACAACTTTTGATTTTGAATTTATATAGGCATATTCATTCACCTTTAATACTGAATTATTGTGTTACCAATATTAACGCAGTGGATATCAGTGGTCAATATTTATGTCAATAAATCATTGTCACAAATGATTGATTATCACTCATTCAGACACATATTGTAGGCTCTTCACATAAAACCATGTACCAATCATTCAGGTGTCAATGTAAAAAATAAGTTCCGAATTCGCAAATGTTTGAAGTGATCTTTGCACTCGGTCCGTATTAAAAAAAATTCGCCGCCCGGTTAATGCCTACATGCATAGTATACTTATTTAAAAAAACATATTGTTTTATATAACATTTAATTTATAGCAAAAATATGCTAATTATATAAACAGAAAGTTTAAAACCTACGCGTACCTATAGCACACAGGTTATGTGTTCTTTCATACATTAACTAATGTGGGTAGATATTTCATATAAAAAATAGTATTTTCGATTCTAACAGGTTTTATTTTTGAATCGTATGAATAATTAAATGAAGTGTAAGGTATGTTTGGTTTCGAAAGCTTCTAAATGTGGCCGTGATGTTTTCACTCGCATAATTTTTCTGCATTCATTTATTAATTTACATCTTTTTGATGATATTGGTACGCATAATAGGTGCCTATTTACGATTAAAATGTTTACGTAGATGCGATATGCATACGACAATATCTTCTACGTTAAAAAATGAAATTACAGCAAAATATAAAGTTTAACATATGTTCCTAACACCTACATGACTTTTGTTTGCAACTTTTTATTAACAAATCAATTAAAATACATAATTAGTGCTTTAAATGCTTCAAAAAAGAAACAATTGTCTATTTACAATTAGTTCTTTCATTGCCAAGAAATATGGAATTACACATAGATAGTGTTCAAGAGTTCAAAAAAGTCAGAAAAGGAGCAAACCCATTTCATTAGATTGGACTTGTTAATTTGTTTTGGGTCACCACTTCGGCCATGATGTACCTAATGCCGATATAAAATATTAGGAATATTTGCCTTCAATTTTAAAGTTCAGTATTTTGTTCTCAGATAATGTTCAACACAGCTCCGGTATATGTCGAAGAATGGATGACCAAAGCACTAACGGAAATGATGACGACAACCGGCTAAAAATATAAAGATGGGGAAAGCTTTCTTGCGGTTTGGTTTGAAGAAAGTATACGAGATGGCGCTGTTCATAATTTTAGTAATGGCAGTAAGTGTGATCGGTACTTCAATACCAGTCGGAGAGATGGCGCTAGGCAATGTGACAAGATTTGCTTCAGGAGATTTATTCTCGCTTGTTGGTGAGTATTTTATAAAATACTAGCTACTCGCCCCGGCTTCGCCCGGGTGTACATGTATTATATATATAAACCATCATCTTGAATCACTCTATCTATGTAAAAAAACCGCTTCAAAATCCGTTACGCGGTTTTCAATATTTAAGCATATATGGAGACGAACAGACAGCGACTTTATTTCATACTATGTAATGATATCAAATATCTTTGATCTGTTAGAAAACTTCGGATTCAAAGAAACGAGTAGAAATATATTGAAGATGAAATAGCTACATGCATGGGCATGATCAGAATTTGACAATTAAAAAATACCAAATAAATAAATAAAAGAAACTCGTAGAAGGTATTTCTATGAGTCATGAGTTAGATTCCCTCACAGAATTCCCGCATAATACAAATATCTATCTAACCAACCAATCAACTTATGGGTATAAGTTGGTTTGTGTCTTAAGTTTTTTGTTATATGTATATATCTATTTGTTTAGATATTTTGCTATATAGGTCTATAAGAATATATACGAGATACACCTATACGGTTACAAAAAAAGCTTGTCTATTTGTCTCCAAAATGCTGTCTAAAGAGTGTCTACCTAAATCTGAAATTCTTTAAAAAAATGTACCAGTTGTGTTTCCTGCCAATTCTTCTCAACCGTAGTAGTTAGCCGTTATACTTCTCTAACTTCGGTATTCCACTGTGGATTCTATTAAAATGAAACATAATTCGAATTGTTATAATATTCTAGGTACAGACTGTGGTCCAACTCGATGTATGGAGGTCTCCCACGGGACTGCCCTTGCTGCACTCAGTGGGGGAGATGGATGTATGTGTCAATGTCGTCGGGATACGCCTGCCTTTAGAGAGGATCAACGTATTTGTACTGATCAAATTGACGGTGAGTTAACCTGATTATTTACAGTACCTATAAAGTTTTCTTCTGGTATGATTTGCCTTTTATTTGCTTTGAATAACAACTGGAAATAAAAAAGGACTGGGCACTAAATCAGATCATTATGCCTTAGGATCGCGTAAGGGTAATGGGTTCGATTTGGGAGATTATTTTGTTGGGGCTGAGAAGAGCAAATAGTCCTTTTCAGTAGTCCTTCCAATTCTTTCCATGTTCATTCTCTAATATTTAGGTGTAGTTGGATAATACTATAATATGTAGGTACCTGTATAGGTATATGTATATATAATTAAAATATACCTTTATTATTTGCACAGATTTATATTATAAACTAGAGTCTGCTTATGGCTTCGTAGGTACCTACGCATGACTATAATTGACGAGATAAAGGTAATCGATGTTCTTCGGCGTTCTAAATAGGTACCATATTAATATGGTATATGCCAAATGTATTGATAATTGGTTAAACGTGAAAGCTTAACTTCAATCTGTCTAATCATTTATATAAATTTGGACAAATGTTTATAATAAGTAGTAGTACATATAAGTAGGTACTATTAACAGAAATAAATATTGAACTTACCCTCCTTCTAAATCATTTGCAAACGTCGTTAAACAAAGCTTACAAATTACCTAAAGGTCTTAGTTCAAAGTCAAGAACAATGTCGCATTTGAAATTCTAATTTGCTATATTTAATAGCGTTATTATAACTAACATTACGTTTGGGGTCCAAGTTTAAAATAAAATTGATTATAATAAATGATATTCATGTATCACCACAATGTAATTGCTGGCTTTATTAGCCCTGCTTGATGTTCTCTACAGGGGTTACATATTCATAAATCAAGGTTAGTTAATTATAAGCACACATCTAGTGCGTATCTTTTAATGCGTATTCGTATGTATGCAAATTGCCGTATAATATTTGTAACTAGCTGAGCCCGCGACCTCGTACGAATTCGGTCCGTGATATTCGGAATGAGAGTATTTATAACTTTTAGTTTGAAACCGATTAGTATAAAACAATTACCAACATACATTAGTGAATGCCACACTCGAATCGATTAGGCTGTTTCTAAGATTAATGCCCAGAAATCCACACATGAGCAGATAAAGATTTTAACAGTCTTTGTTTTGGGGTCTAATAAGTTGATACAGTTCCTAATATCTTTAATGTTAAGAATGTTTGTATTAGTTGTAATTGTTATATTGATAGTGAAAGACAGGTATGACATACGAAGCAATAATCATATCAACCCATGGCCTATGCTTAACATCGAATGATTGATCGTACATATTGATATCTCATATAACAAATATATCATACTTCTTTACTATCACCCGTTTGAAGAATAGATCTGGGTATACAAGCAGTACCTATCATATTTTAATTATAAATCTAAAATAAATATTAAAAATTACTTATTTCTTTTCAGAATGTGTGATGGCAAGTTTTGGCCGTGGTACAACAAAACCACAGATTCCATTCGTATTTTTACCAATGAAAGGACAAATTGTATATCCAGCTAAAGAAATCATATTTACAAGTAAGTATACTTTAAAAAAATCTAATTTACAGCAAAAAAAATATTGATTCCGATACCGGGAATCGAACCCGAGCCTCCTGGGTGAGAGCCAGGTATCCTAGCCACTAGACCATATCGGATATACAACACTTGTCGAAATTATAGAATATTATCTCTTGAAAATATAGTTCAAATTATATTTTAAAAAGGGTTTAAAATAAAAATCTATTGACTTTATTAATATAAAATCTTTAAATAATATTTACAGATTATTTAGATTGCTCATATTGAAACATGGCGTCTTAAAAAAAAACCCATTTGTTATACGAATTGTAATTACATACACAATTATTTAAACTTAAAAATAATTATGTATGAATATATAAAACTTTTATTTTACTGTGCACCTATTTTTTAGATGTAGAGGATGCAATTTGCGCTGTGACCAGTGCGCAGTATTTATCACCATCGGGTTGGGTGACACTGAGGGATTTGCTCGATAATGATGTGCCCTTTAGCTTGTACCGAGACGAGGGTAGCACCTTCTTGCAGGTAACATTTATAAGACTGTATAAAACGAATTTTATTACTTACTAATAACGCCATCTATGTTGAATGTACAGAAGTGAATGCGTAAAGTAGTGATGTATCTAAATTCTGACTTTTCTTCTACCTATTTATATATTGATTTTGAATATGCTAATCGTATTAAACAGATACTGGTGTAGGCAGAGAGTTTCCTTCTATTGACTATCGCAGACTTTCCAAACTATTTTAATATTATTAAATATTATATATTTATTTTCTTTATTATATCACATTATCGTATACCTACTGAGTGTTCTATTAAATTCTTATCTCTCTACTTATTATTCTACGTAACTTATCATAATTAAGTCATTTTTAGTCAATTGTTTCAGTCTGCAGATGATTTTTTTCAAAGGATACAATAGCTATTATCATGCCGTTTGTAGTTTAGACTATTCTTGTTACGGTGAATGATAAAAATCAAAGAAAACACGATCCTTTTACCTCCCAAGCAGATATCTATAACAACTGTTTTTCTTGTAACTTTTAACATTTATTATAGCATATGATCATTATATTCACATCTTTATTGTTTGTTTAATAACTTGAAATTAAAAGTTTATGTACTAATAAGTAATTAAAATGCTCGGTATCGTAAAAGCTTATGAAAGGCGCGTACACCAAGATGCTTATCGAAATCCTGGCTCAATATAAACCAGAACGAAATCACACGCTACACGGAATTAGGTGTGTGCAAGATGTGGTTTCTTAGAAATCATTGTACTTTTTAAATCCAATTATAAAGTCAATACAATTTAAAATATACATGGTACTTAGTTTTAATTCGAGTCGATTTGAACTCGAAACAAACTTTCTTATTTCTTTTCAATTGGGTTATCATAATAAAAATTATAGGTAGTAACATCGACAGGTACCAAAAAGGATTAAATTACTTAAACTTTTGAACTTTACAAAGCAAAGATGAGTATGAGAGCGAGGTTCTGTAAGTAGGTAGGTATTTTAAATGTACAAAATACTTCATGGAATTTTCTGTCTTTTATTATACATGTATGAATAAAATTAAAAAAAAAACAATAATTTTATTTCATGCTAAGAGTACTTGTAATAATATGCTTTATAAATATAGAACATAAAATATATAGAACGTCCGTAAGGTAGTAAAGTGTTAATCGGGTAATTGTGATGTTGGATTTATTATTATCACTTATCATCTTATCAATCATATATGTACATTAGAAATGTATAATATGCCGAAAAAAATATTGAAAACTACAATTGTTGTCGGATAGAAAAATTATTTCATTTTTCTAAACAATTAAACATCCCTGTCTCAACAGGTTGTTTAGAATAATAAGAAATGCAATTGATATTGTTTTTTTAATGGATGATAATGGAATAATGCACCCTTTAAGGATAAAGGGTAAAACTAGCGAGGCACCAGTAGAGGTCAGGTCAGTTAGTCCATCGAAACAAATTCACCAGGTATTTATCGTTATAGTTTCCGAGGGGATCCGCGCGGAAGTCAATCTGTCACGGTACGTTAGTAGCAATTACTTATTTAATTAAGATCACATGACTAACAATCCGCTTTACCCGAATAGGTGGGTATAGGTATATAATATAGGTGTTACAAATGATATCTATTCGTACTTTAGTTCCCTTCTGGCACATCTAGCAAATGGTCTTTATTGGGGTTAATGCGGGGACAGTACAATATAAATTTCTGAGTTGTAGAACCAAGCCTTATATAACGGATACCATCCAGTTGGAATACCACGCCTAATTGTTTTCAAAGTGGACCGATTTTTTAGATTCTTCTGTATATTAATGTTTCAAGTTGGTTTATGTGATTTAAAAAAAATGACGCGCCCATAAGTCTATTAAGAAAATACTATGTCTTCTTAAAGTACTGCGTGTTTTCGCCTCTTACGTAACTGTTTGTATTATATATATTTGTAGGTAGGCATCGTCAAAGATACATTTAATGACAAGCGAAATTTCCATGAATGACTTCTAAATATCTCGTTCATTTTGCTTAGATTAGCATTACTAGTTTTTAAAGTGGCAGGTATGAAAATTATGTGTACGAATAATACGAATTTTGGGTCAATAGAGACTAAATGTCTATCAGATACAAATATGTTATTTATCAACTAAATATTTATTGTACCACCCTGTATGTGAGAATTTGGCCCATAAAATTTATTTAATGTCTTTATGTAAATGAGGAAAACGCGTGCCATACTTTTTTGGTTAATTTCTCTAATGCATACACGTACACCAAAGTATACGGGGTTTTGTATCAGGAACAAAAACCCCTTCATCTTCACAGACTTTAACAATGACAATAATGTTTATTGCTAATTTATATGTGAAGATATTATGATACATTTGTTAAACAAAAGAATAAAGTTAAATTGAGAACTTTCTGAAATTAGTTCAAATACGCTATAATCTATTAATCTTAAATCTTATCTCGTTTCTTGTAACGAGAAAATTGTTCTTATAGACAATATTGTCATCTTAGATATGTCATTTTACATAACTACATACGTTAATAAAATTTGTAATATTCTGACGTCGTTATATATTAAACATCTCATAAATACAACTTTCTGGGCGGTAATCGTTTAAACGTGAACGATAATATGTAACCCTTATACGATAAGATTTCAAAACGATTCATTTCATGTCCAAACTCGTCAATTTTCCGTATATGTCTAATAATAGTATGAACTTGATGTTTGATACATCAGCATTATTATTATAAAGGAGCATGTGAGGTATAACAGTCTCAACAACTAGTAAATCCTGAATTACGAGTCCATATCCTCCTGTTATATCGGGTCCTTGTAGCGTGTCATCTTAAAACGCTGTACTGTTGAGATATTATCATTATTGCTAAGAAATTACCCGTGTACTTGGAACTGACGTAGATATGTGATCATTGTATCCAAGGTGACATACCACAACATTGACCAAAGTCCTTACGTGTGAAGTCTACACTGTTGTACATTTAATGAGGATAGCTGGCCGCTTCGTTATATATCCCTACTTTATCTATATTTAAAATAGAAGTAGTTTATACTATCGTTTGTCTCTAACACAAATACTATTTAAAAATTGAATCTGACAAAAAAAAATAATATACTGGGCAGTAGGGATAAAAACTAAAAGAAAAGAGGCCGAAAGGTCCTACTTGAATATATGAGTTTGAATTTGACTTCTGCCACTGCGTTGTAGTTGAAATACGCGTTATCAAACTTCAAGCCTACCTTTTTTTATCAGGGACTTAAACAGAAGCTCTAACAACTTTCTCTTTTTATAGTTTCACGTAAGGTGCTTAGCCAAGATGACTATTCATCATCCATTGAAAAGAACAAAATATTTTTGTGTAACTTGGCATTGCATTTTTAATGGCACGCGCCATTGCTCTGCCCTCGTATCTTGTTCATCCAAAACTCATAAATTTTTGTCATGAATAGCGGAAATTAACTTGTACGCTGGGCTAATCCAGTTTCGAGTTGTCTTTTATAGTCTCGTATCAATATTAAGATTTCAGATAAGAAAAATATTTGAGCACATTTTTTTATATTGACCAACATCACTTTTTCATTAATGTCAAGCGATATTGAGGTGTTTCCGTTAATTTTGTAAACGAACGCGATGCCTTATTAAAATTTTGAGACTGCAGTTGTAAAGTTTGGAGTAAGGTGGATTATCATAAATTTTAATGATTGTTACATTTATTATTTTATTAAATATAAATTGGGTCGACAACGGAATATCGTGGCGGCGGTCTGCGACAATATCATCTTGATTTTTATATCAGTTCATATCAGTTATTCATGTATCACTATTGGGTGATATACATTTATCCCTTTACTCATAAAAGCGCCATACTAGTACAGTTATTATAAATACAATTTCGTAATCGAACTGTTTTTTATTTATCTTACGAGCTATTTTCTTTATTTGAAAAAACAGTAAGTAATAGTACATACGGATTTGATTTGTTTTAGTTTTTATGAATAATTAATTTAGTGTTTTATGAGTGAAATTTATTACAGTAACAGTATTTTGACAACAGTTTCCTTACTTTTTCCATATGTTTACGAAATAATTTTTATTTCATTTCAATCAACTGTTCAGTGGCGCGGATCTGCAGCCCTGCATGCCCGTTTGGAAGGCCGCCTGGTGGCAGCTCATGTCTTATGCTCAGCTCATGAGCAGTCCCGCCTTGCCGCCTCATGTGCTGCCTTTAGAATTGCTGGCGCTTCACATAATACACTACTTGGTAATAAGAGCTTTGCTTGATTTTTTCAATATAATAAGTAAAATAATTTCATGACATTATGTATTCTTTATGTTACTGAACTCCATAGGAAAGTGATAACCATCGCCTAGTTATAATAAAGTGTAATAATATCTCATGACAATCATACAGCGCCATCTAGTGCCAAGCTAAGCAGAGTTTGTGTTATAGATACTAGACTACTGATATAAATACATAAGTACATTTTTCTTTTGTAAACACTTACATAATATACTTTGAAGATAACTAGGTCTATACAAACAATCATACTTATGAATACAAATATTTGTACTGTGCTAAGAATTTAACCCGCGACCATCGGCAGTAAGGCGATGTGATATGTCACATCCATCATTCCTGCGAACTAAGGTTGTTCGATTATCCGTATTGTGTAATTTCACTGCAATACTCACACTTCACTCACGCTACCACGGGTCAAGATCACGGAAGACATCGTGGAGATCTTTGGAGGAGGCCTATGTCCAGCAGTGGACGTCTTCCGGGCTGCAATGATGATGATGATGACTCACACTTCCAACTGATAAAGCTTACAAAACAAATTACTTTGAACAAAATCTACCTCGGTTAGCTTATTTTACACACACACCGCCACACCAGTGTATATTTTATTTTCCTTTCCACAGATGTCCGCTCTATACCGTTTCATGCAGGTGAGACAGTGACGTCAGAACCTTCCTCACAAAACCAAGGTCTGAGCGTGCTGGAGTCCCTAGCTATATGTGTATGTGTACTTATGTTAATTTTCGTATATGCGGCGGGCATTATATTCTACGTACACTACAAACAGAGACAGAAACGAAAGGATAAAGATCCAGAGTCGAATAACTCTAACACTACGTCCACAGGAAATGGATCGACACTTGATTCTCATATTGATATGGATAATGTGGTAAATATTTTTTAACAATGAAAGAAGTTCTTGAGTTTGAATATGTACCTGTATTTGAGGTGCATATTTAGTAACTAGTATAAAAATATTTTTTTTGTTGCAGCAATTAAAAACTAACCCATTATTAAACATGAACGCAAATTTTTTACATGATTCTGGTTTATCAGATGTTAGCGAACGTACAGAAGAGACTATTGACTCATCCCCCAGTACCACCCAAAAGGTAAGTGATATTTTTTAATTACATTGTAAAATATTGCTCACGAATTGCCTTGTATTCTTGAGGATATTTTTTTTATATCTCCGTAATATGTAATTTTACTCCTACGAGTAGATATAGTACTAAAATTACATATTAATTCGTAAGTCAAATCAATATAACCAATAATGTTATAGTAAATAAGATTACTTGCAACAGTATCTTTAATATTACACACAATTATTCAGTTTCAGAAAACAAACTCTAATGTTATTTCGGCGATGGTTCATACAAGACGTAAAAAGCCCTCTAGACCAACAATAAGGGCATCTTCGATGCCAGAAAGAACAAATGACCGTATTCAACGTCGGTCTATGTCTCCAGATACTTTTGAAAGAGCTCCGCATTCCGATTTATCTATAATAGATTGTAGTTTAGAAAATAATTTGGTGGCAAGACAACCATTCCAATCTTCGAGCGGAGAGCCAGTTCTTAGAAAAAAACTGTATTTCAATCCAGTTTTCTTTGAAACTGATCATCTGAAGGTGAGTCAAAAATAATGCTCTAAGATAATTCTATCATAAAAAGATATGTAATATTTATTAAATAAAATAATTATGCTCAAAATCAAAATGGTGGACCCCCATCCGATAATCAGTGCTATTATCGATTGTTTGTACTTTTATTTCATATTAACAAGAACTATCTTGTAATAAATTAATTACATCAGCATTATTTATTAAAAATTAAAGATATTGTTTCAGAATCCTCCACCAGCAGCAATTGAATTTTTAATGAAGATCCGTGAAATCATGTCTTTGGCGAAGGATAAAATGACTTCAAAAAGATTTATCCCAATCTTATCTGATATACCAGAAGAGAATCTGTATAATTCCATAGATCTTGGATGCGATATACCTTGTGCTCGTCGTAATCGCAGATACAGTATCGCCATAAATCTCAAACAGGAAAATAGTAGAAGAGCAGGTCACTGTGGTGGATGTCCTGGTTGTGATAGTAACAAGAAAACTCAAAAAGCCATAGCTTTAACTAGATCAAATTCATGTAAATCATGTGTTAGTGAAGATTACAAACAGACGATTGTTCGTAAGTGGTTAGATGAAGTTCCATCTCCATCACAAACTAAAAAATCGATAAAGTCTGTATCGAAGGTTAGTGGTACGCCAAGAGCCATCGAGGTAAAACTAAAGGGTGAAATACGACCTCGTTCTGCAGAACCACTTCGAAATGAAGAAAGCAAAGGACGTACGAGTCCAGACTCTAAAGTGAAGGAACAAACGAATGACACAAAACATAATAACAAGAAAGAGATAAAGAAAGAAGAACCCAAGAAAGATGTAATAAAAGAAGATCCTAAGACTAATAATATCATTATTAAGCACAATAATGTAAAACTACCAGAGGATGCAAATATAATGCCAACCTCACCAACCAAAATACAGGAAACTAAAAATATTTCTAATCATATATCCAGACGTATAAGAAAAAAATTGCCTCCTCCGCCACCACCTCCAGTAAGTCCTCCACAACCACCGGCATCGCCAAAAGTTGAAGAAGAAGAACCAATACCTGTGGAAGTTAAAATAAAAATGGAGGCAGTTATACGTGAACTTAATAAATGTCGCCGAACAGAACCAAATATACTGGAAGAGATTAAAATGGAATCTGTAACACCCATTGCTCCAAAAATTGTTATACCAGTATTAGCTGCCGACTCCCATTATTTTAGTGATGATAATACCCTTTCTAATAATCGCAAGAAGGAAATGTCTAACTCACAAAGCAATATGTTAGTGAATTTGGATAATTTAGATAAAAATGCACTTAAAAGACGCAGATTTTCAGTAGCTTGCGGACCAGAGTTAGCTCATAGAGATATATTTGATCATTATCAGAGACCTCAGAGTGCAACTCGTGGTAGACTAACAAGTAGTTGGCGTGATATTAACAAAGCTGATGATAATTATGAACAAGATTCATTTATTAGTTGGCGTGATACAAAACGATCTGTTCCTGAATATGTACACAATCCTCATCTATTACAACCACAATTTGAAAATCGCAGTGAAATAATTATTAACTCATCCGAACCACTATACGATAATATATCGAAACCAGGCCCACTGACTATAAAAGTAAGTGGATCACCGGTAGAAAATAGACGTAAATTTAATGAAGAATTCGATCCCGATACTCTCGACCGAAAACCAAAACGCGAAGGAAAACGCGTTGAAAAAATACTTCTAAAATCAGGGGGAAGTTTCAAATTCAAAATTCAAGGAAACACAACAGATTTCCATAATAATAATAAACCCAATACGCCACCCGAAGCCATTTTCACAAGAAAAATTGGCAGTTTAAGACAAATATATGAAGCTAAAGCTAAAATACAAAATAATGAAGTTAATTTCTACAACAGACGTGGCAGCCTGCCTTATTTAAACCAAGATGCAGCATGTTTTGCTAGATCCGTGAAAACTCCGGATATAATTAGACATGATGGCCAGAAGGATTTGAAACCACCAGTACCTCCTAAGCAGCGACGTGTGCCTGATTTGTCTACAAAGTTTTCTGCTTCGATTAGAGAAAGTCCTTCTGGTGATCGCAGACGTATATCAGAGGAAAGAGATCGTTTCCCTCCATATCCTCGTCTTGAAAACTTAAACGCTCGGCGGTCAGGACGTAGGTCAGCACGTACTAGATCTCGGCGCACTGATTTAAGAAAATTGTATAGAACTGAAGATTCAGGTTACATGAGTACAGATTCCAATGACTCGAAGCGTAGAGCGAAATATCTTATGCAGTTGAGACCCAAACATTTCCCTGAACCCGTCCCAGTCCCTGTCGCTAGATCGATAACTAGAACACCTATACTGTTAATGGAGTCTGATACTGACGATTTGGAATCTTTATGCGACGGTCGTAGTGAATCTGGTGGAGAGAGCGTTGAAACGGACTCTGTATTCTTCGGTAATTTTGACGATACAAAGGAAATGCTTGCAGAGTTAGGTCTGCATAGTTATGAGATTAAAAGAAAATTTAATCGTGGCCCAGAACAGATTGATTCGGGATTTATGGGCGAAACAAATATTATACTGAGTGGTGATAGTGACTCAGAGCACAGAAGCGTCATATCGATAATCACCGGCCGCGATGGTCGAACATCATCTGCATCTATTACCAAATTAGATGAACCGCCATACATTCATTCTGTCGAATGTTAAAATCATGCCATAAATCTTTGTGTAAATAAATACTCCAGCCAAAACATTAGATGTAAATGTATGTTTTTAATCAATACTAAGTAACACTTATAAATAAGTATAACGGAGATGTATTTTCTTACTTTTTTCAGATCTTAGACGTAGATAAACATCACGATGGTTATGTGCGTATACATGTATGTAGATAGACAATTAAATAGATAATAATTACATTCAGCGAATTGAAAAATATGATATTATTGTATAGTCACCAAGTTTACCTCAATATATAATTAAATATTAATTTAATTGTAATATAATACTGCGCATGTATTGGGTGTAACGTTATGGGTTAGTATACATGTAAAATTGGAACTTGCGTACCTCATGATGCATTGATCCCACCCACAATAAAATGTTGTAGGTATATGTACGTAAAAGTAAATTGTGTTTATTCGACTTAATTATATAGAATTTCGATCTAATTATTGAATTAAATTTGTAAATTAGTTTATTAATTATTTAGAAGTTCATTGAAATATTTTACTCATGTATCAGTAAAATATATAATTTAATTTACATTTTCATTAATCCATTTATACTCAGTGTAGTAGTACCTACCGAAATATTAGTTTGTAATGTAAATATATATAGTAACTTATACATGTTTGTAAATTTAATAACCGGCCGGTTGTGCAATTAAATTTTTATAGTTTACGAGAGATAAAATTGATTGAATATAATACATGGTGCTTGGTATGATTAGAGGCTCAATTTATTTATTTAATTTATGTATTAAGCCAGTCGTTTTGGATATAAGTCTTGTAAGTACTTATATTGATTAAAATAGACATAGAATGTGTAGGTACCTACTCATGTAAAGGCATATTTTCAGACTTTGTATACAAAGTAATAGAAAATATTTTTGTTTGAATAAAATTCGTGTTGTTACAATTCAATGCATTTTTATTCTTATCTATATAATTTGCAAAGACATATACCTCACATTAATCAAACGGACTACTTTAATAACGATTTCTAAAAATAATAATTATAGAGTTTTTGCCAAAAAAATATTTTAAAAATTAGCTTGGGACCAACATTATCACTTACAATTACAATTCATAGGCAATTCTATCCACAAAAGTAAAAAAACGATGGCCCATGAGGGGATCGAACCCGCGACCTTCGCGTTATTAGCACGACGCTCTAACCAACTGAGCTAATGGGCCGATGACAAAAATTAAAATAATCCACAGTATACTGTAGATATTGATAATGCATGTGTTACACATAAGACGGTAATCAAACGTAAATATAAAACGTGTCTATAATATTTTAATATTATAAATATTGAGAACACAGAAAATATTTTTGAATAATGACCAGATATATATGTCAGTAGCTCCATGCGACTTGCAACGTTCCTTATGGCAGATGAACATAGAATGTTTCGGTAAAGAAAGTTCATATGATAAGAGGTTTTAATATATATGTGTATAGATAATGACAGTTTATAATTTCACTATACTTGAGTATATTCCAAATAGAAAATAAATTAGCAAAATTATAATATCAATAATATTATTTAAGAACAGTGGTACATTACAAAATTAAATAACAATACATACTGATATGAACTGATAATAATTAAGTTTAATAAAGAGGTTTCATCAGTATCGGTCATCTAGGCTGAAGTAATAATGCAGTTGATCCAATTGAATTATCCACTAAATTGCAGAAAATTATCGTGACGCAAATGTTTATCATGTACAGACCTACACGCATAATTGACAATTGTATTAATTAATAAATGTAAAATTTTTATTAAAAAATTTAACGGGAGCGTAATTTGCAATGCCTTGTCTATATCCTTTAATACAACTACTCAATATCCGACAGTCAATAAATTAAATTACTTCAATCAAATTATAATTATTCTAAATTGAACGTTACATATCTAGTTACTATGGACTTTTTTAGCGTCATAGATCATCATAAAAAGTACATTTTAATCATCAATATACACATAAAATCTAGTGCCTGAGAACCGAGGACTAATAATAATAATTAAACATTGTAACATGATTGTTAAAGCATACAAAATAACAGTAATCAATTCTTTTTTCTTCTAGAGGTTCGTCACGCCCCTTAGATCATCTCATCACTTGTGTTTCATGGTACGCCGAAAACTGTACATAGAGTTATTAATAAAATATAGTAGGATAGAAAAGGTATATAAATCAGTCTATAATATATATTTAATTTCGATCAATTTAAGTTCATGTCAATTGAATCTTGTTTATTCTAGAAGAATAAACGCAAAAGATGCTTAATTACGTTGACTGTTTCCACAGACAATATACTACCTACTTATTGCATGTATGTAAGAGTCACTGTTATTTAAATGTTAGTGAAATGCTTGCTCACATGTCACAAAGGATGTGAGTATATATACATATATGTAATTAATCCTTTTGTATTATTATAATAGATAAAACTACAAAAGGATTAATGGCAATTATAACTGCATATACTATTATTACCATTAATAATAGAAAGTACAATGTAATATCACTTATAAGTTTTTATACTATGTAGGTATATACGATACTTGTATATACCTACATATATTCCTATAATTCTAGCCAAGTGTCATAAAATTGCCTACCATTCGAAATAACTATAAAATAACTATGCCAATTGGCGTTAATAATAATAATAATCTTTATTTGTCTCAAACAGAAACTTAATAACAATATTGTACTTTTATTCTCATTTTTATCACATATTATTTAAATTGCAAACAAGGTTTGCTTTATGGGGAGAATAATATTAAAAAAACTGTTATAATATTGATTTTTTTGTTTGTTATAATATTTTTCTTTATTACTAGGTAAGCAGTCTATTGTCTTCCGAACTCGTTGGTTTGTTAGGAATGAAGACGTGCGAGTATTTACAATTGCTCTACATTCAGGTGCGATATTTACGTATACAGCGTGTTTTAAATTATTTTATGAATAATATTTATAATAATATATGCAGCAACATCATCGCCTCATGGCTTCATGCCTTACCTTAAACTCACTTGGGTACTCTACTTGTTAATAATTCCTTAGAGTAACAACATCTATGCATTAGCGGTGTTCAAATAGATTTTAAGTGTCACCTTATATGATTCGCTTATAATGTGTAGGAAAATATCCAAGACATCATGCTATTAAAAACATTAAAGCAGAGGTATCTCATGTACTTACCTGATGAATAAGAAGTATTATTAGGAAATATATGGATATTATAGAAATGTAACGAGTACGTTAGCTGTATACAATGTGTCATACAAATGTAATTATATAATTAATAATTAGTAATTATAAATATATTCGCTAGAGTTCGCTACAAATGTTATTCATAATGCAAATATCCTTTCCATTTTGGAGCCGCCAGGGTTATTTAGTAATTCTTCCATGAGATTAAAGTCATTAACTTAACTTTAATACCATGGCAGAAGGGTCGCTGCATTTCACTGAGTCTAGGGCTACGCTGAAACACTATGTACAGGGACCAGGAAACATCATACTTATTTATACCAGTGGCCTTTAAAACTACAAAGAATTAGGAAGGTGCTTAGTGAATAGACGCCATGATATCTATTCTGGATCATATCCTGCTCAATTCTCTAGTTGTTGTTACTGTTATACTTTTCAGGTCGGGTACGAGATTGAACTATTTTAGTAAATTATGAGACAAAATTTAGTATATTTTTAAACGGTATGATATTTAAATTTGAGTGATGTTAAATAATTAATAATCTAAAAGTTATTATTTAATTTATGAAAAAACTCAATTTTGTTAATTGTTTCAAGATAAAAAAGTTCAAATCATACTATCATTAGAGTATAATAGTCTATGACTAATTAATAAGTAACAGCTAAATAATAACATTCTAGGAATACTAGAAAGATATTTTAAAGTATCAAGGTATATGTCACCACTCATATTCAATCCATTAAATTTGTTACACATACGAGGCGGCTGTGGAAACAAAGTAAGTACAAATAAATATATCAATGAAAGAGCAAGAGAACAACTAAAATGAAATATTATCCTATCAGTTAGCGATAGAAATAAGAATTTAATCAGATTACTTTTATTACTACCTATCTACAAAAATCTACTTGCCAACATTGTTTATCGAGTAATAATTTATGGCATTTCTTATCATAAAAACAACCAACTATATAGAATTACAAACTACATAAAATAGATACATTAATATCATTAGAAACAAATATATTTTGTTCGAAATATATATTTTTCGCTACTTCCTCTGCGTTTTTTATGGCATAAGATGACCTACATGATAGGGCTAACGCAGCATATGACCGTCTCTTTGATACCATTTATCGTCGTGCAAAAAGCTAAGAAGCAGATGGACAGATAAACAGACAGATGGAGACGTTGTCACATTAAAAATATTATTACAGAAATAAGGACTGATTATATTAATATAATTTCTATTCCTAGTTCTAACTATAGACTTATTATTTTCAGGATAACACCACTACGATATTAATAGATTCGGTCATGCCTTAAGATATCAAGCAGCTGGAATGAATCTGTGGGCAGTTGAATAATGTGCATATTTATTATATCACAATTAAATCACATATACTAAATCGTATTATAACTACTAAATTATTAATGCAAATTTCTTGGATGTATGTATGAATAATTAATTATTTATGCGGTGTTAAAAGTTCAGCTAAGTAAATGTCAGTAATTTTAATGTTCTCTTGCCAATTTTATACGCAGTTATATACACTGGTTTGTCTTCGGCAGGCTTAAGACCTTAGGGCATCTCAGTCTTTTTTTGCTTAATAGCAAAACTAAGGTACCTAGTTTTGTTATTATATAAAAAAAGTATTCATATAAATGCGTATTTTATGAATTATGTAGGTGAAGCCACGAAATAAGTCCTAGTAATATAAATATAGTCACATAATAGATAAAACGTCGGCTTTTTGGTTGTTATGAATTAAATAATAAAATAATAATAAGGAGCAACCTGTATATCATTAGCTCCCCGATGGAATTCCGATGTTACCTACTGTAGAAGTTAAATTATAACGATACTATTGCCGCGTGATATGTATGGGAAGAAACTCATTCTCACTCGACCGACGCTCACACCAATACGAACACTTTTTTAATAGATTTACTTTATTTTGACAGTATTATCATAACGTAGCATAGTATCAATAGCACGATTTAACTAATCTTAATGGTCATTACCTATCATATCATAAAATAAAAAAAAAACATTAAAAATATAATTCCGTAAATATAAAAAGTTAAGACAAAGAAATAGCCAAATTAGTTAGTGTACTATATTATCTATTGATTTTTTTTAATTCGTAGAATATATTTTTTGACCATATTTGTTACTGCTCGTGGTACCGTGGTACAAAGAACTATAGGCTATTCTCCCTCATTATTTTGATAATTTAGGTACATGTAGTATACAAATTATTAATTAGCTATCATATTATAGTGTCGCCATTGTGTTTAAAAGTAATTCTGAAAGAAGAATAACGAAAAAGCAATATATAGGTATACACCTACTTATTTGTAACAACTTCAATATTTACAATCAAAATAATAATTTATCATTAATATATGGCACCACTTTACAATGAGTTATTGATTATCTAGAGGCATGATGTAGCGAGAACAATAGAGCAGTAATGAGACACAGTTGGTATAATACATGACACTCGGACACGTACGACAAACAGAAAATAGGAAAGTTATGAAGTCGCCATGTTTTAGTATACATATATTGCATTTTTTTATTTTTATTCTTACTAACATTAAAGTCAGTACTTTAATTTTGGATAATAAAATTTGCTAGTAGATGTTTCATTTCAGGACGAAGT